TGAATTTTTTTTAATATTTATTTTTTTAGTTTTCGGCGGACACAACATCTTTGTATGTGGTGCTGAGGATCGAACCCCGGGCCGCACGCATGCCAGGCGAACGCGCTACCGCTTGAGCCACATCCCCAGCCCCCTCTCCTTGATATTTGGATGCAATTTAACTGTCCCTTGTCCCATTTACTCATGGGGATCAAGTGCAAATGTGGGCAGCCCTGTTCATCCAAAGATCTGCTTTTAAACAGCAATGAGCTCTTAGGTCCTCATCCATGATATGATCACATTGCCCTAACTCAAAGGAATGAATTTGTTTATTCCCTTGAAGACAATCCATCCAGAATTTATGTATTTGGTGCTAGGGATCAAACCCAGGGCCTCCTACATGCTAGGCAAGTGCTGTACCATTGAGCTACCCCATCAAAAAATATTTATAAGCAATGCAGCCTATTAAAGAAAATTTGAGAAGTTCAGAAGTAGAAATAAAATCTTCTGCAGTTCCCCCGCTCCTTCCCCCTCAAGTTCTGTGCTTTTTAAAATCACAGTGTTTTCACTCCTGCATAGTCATGTTGCAAATGTGCTTTTATATTTTGCATTTCTCCATTTGTCATCTGCTCTTCACAGACCTCATTTTCAATGTCTGCGTGATGTTCTTTTGAGGAGATAAAGGTTTTTGACCTTGCCTTCATGATTGGTAATTGAATTGTTTCCAGTTTTTTTTTTAAGTACTAAAAGTTATGCCATATTGACATTTTCACCCATAGATTTTTCCCCCCTGTACATAGTGTTTGTTTAGGATGGCCTTCTAGGACAGGAATTCCTGGGTGAAGACAATCTTGCTGATTCTGTGAAAAGCTTTCCAACAGGGGCATCAGTTCACATTCCCACCATCAGAATAGGACTGAATTTATCCACACTCACCAACTTTGGCTGTTTTAATTTAAAAAGATATTTCTTGCTTACTTGCTTGATTTCATTCTTTCTTGTTTTCATTTTTTTTCTTTCTTTCTTCAGTTGATAGGTGAACACGATCATGTGGCCTTAGCTCATCTTTCTTTGGTTAGTCATGAAGTCATTGTTTTGTTGGGTTCCCAGGCACAAAACCAGAGAACTGGGGAGTGGGGAGGAGGTACTTCCATTTCTTGCACTTTGGAAGAAGGAGAACTGAGCAGGCGGCCCTCTTCCTTTCTCATCTCAAACCACACTTTGTCATGCTGGTGTCACTTGCTTGGTTTGCTCACACGTGATCCCCAGCCAGGTTGCCAGCCCCACAGGACATTAGTTTGAGGCATGATTGGATGCAGGAGTCCACCAGGAGACCCAAGGCTGGGCCAGAGTCCTGGCTCTGGCCTGTAGACATTTTTGGTTGCTACACTGGGGGTGGGCTTGGCCAGCCAGTTGTTATCCAGTAGGTAGAGGTTAGGAATGGGAGCAAGACAATCCTTATGACAAGGAATTATATGACCCCAAATTCCAGTGGTGCCGAGACTGAGAAACTCTAGAATCAAGTGGGTGAGGAACTCAAGATCACCAGCATGTAGGGGGGCAGGACCCAGTGGTGGCAAGATTTGGAGAGCTGAAGGTCAGGGGCGAAGCCAAGTTTCTGGCCTGACAAGGAGGACACAGAAGGGAACTAGGTGAGTATGAGTTTGGAGCTCAGTGGGTCACCTAACAGGGAATCCCAAGGGTAGCTGGAGCTCCTAGTGGGAAAGTGTCTGAGATAGAGGGCAGTAGAAGCCAGGGGGGGCCGCAGTTGGTGTGAGGCTGAGGTGATGGGGTCCAGGTAGGGGGGAGGGGTATGTCCGCTGGCAGATTGAACCTGGCAATGAGAAAAGTAGCTTGGAACTTCAGTCTTGGTTGGGCAGAGCCACTGGGTAGAGGGTGCACTGTTGGGTAGGAAGGGACAGGACCGAGTGTGGAAGATCCAGGCTTCTTGTTCTGGATGTGATGTTTGAGCTATTAAGGGGCAGCTGACTGTGAGATGGGCGCTTATGGGCAGGACTGGGGACAGGGTGGAAGATTAATTGAGACACTTGCCCTGGATTTCCTGCCTGACAGGTGAGGGCTGAAGTGTGAATGGGGTTGGGTGCCTTTCCAGAGTGAGGTGGCCACGGGACCTTGTTTTGGCCCTGGTTCCACATTGATGATGTGCCCACCAGAAATTGAGTGTACCTTTTGGAAATGCCTGGAGCCAGAAATGTTTGAGATTTGGGATGTTTGGACCCAAATTGCTCTTATTTATTTATTATTTATTTCTTACATACATGACAATAGTGGAATGCAATACAATCATAATTCAAATTGCTCATATTTAACAATAAGGGAATTACATGAGTCCTTTTCTGACCATGGTTGCTGGTGGCTGCTGCAAAGTACAATAGTAAAAAAAAAATTACATTCCCTAAAATTACCCACAGACATATGCATCTGTGCATTTATACTGCATAGCACAAAAAGGTCTCCAGAGAACTTACATTACTTAGTAATGTAATTTTTTGTAACTATTTAGTTTGCACTGGTTGACTTAGGAACGACCATAGAGGGGGCAGCTTAAAGAAATTTCCCCTTTCACAGTACAGAAGGGTAGAAGTGTAAGATCAAGAACAAGGCATTCGCAGAGCTGGCTCCTTTGGAGGGCTGTGCAGCGGTCTCTTCCAGACCTTTCTCCAGCTTTTTTTTTTTTTTCCGTGGTTGCTGGCAGTCTTTGGTGATCCTTGGATTAAAGAGAATCTTCCGTGCCGCTGACTTTATCTTCACAAAGCATTTTCCTGTCTCTGTGTCCAAAGTGTCCCGTTTTATGAGGCTACTGGAATAGAGCCATCCTAATGACTCATTTTAACTCAGTGACCTCTGGAATACAGTCTCCAGGGAAGGTCGCATGCTAAGGCCTTGGGGTAAGGACTCCGACATGTCTGTTCGGGGGAACACAGTTCACCCATCATGGCTACCTCTCCAGGCATCTTTCCAGAGCTTACCACCAATTCATTAGAAATATGTTACAGGTTGTCACCTGTGGTACAATTTCCCTTTTGTCAAAGGTAATGCCAACAATAGTGTATTTATGTGCAAAAGAGAAATCCAAGGGCATACATCCAAACTCCCACAAGGCAGGGCTTATTTTGGCTTTCTTTTTCTGCAATAGCTGGTAAGTTCAGGCTTTTGAGGTGTTTTGTGAATGTCTGAAATCATATGCCCATTTTTGTGTGTGGGTGCATTTTATGTAGGAGAATGTCCTTTTGCTGTCAGATCAAGCGGATCTGAGATGCCAAAGTGAACAGCACCCAAGAGAGCCGTAAAATCCCTCAGGAATCCCACTTCACAAGAAATGTCTCCAGCCGATGAGAAGCAGTGGGAGAGAACCAGGAAACTCATCTACTCCTGGCTAGGGCTGCAGCCCCACAGGGACAGTCAACGCCCGAGCCACCCACTCCTGCTCTTCCCCTTAAGGTCAACCGGGCAGAGCTGTAGGCAGGAGCAGGAGGGATGGAGGTTTTTCTCAGCTTTTATCACAAGCAAGGTGCATATCTGTGAGATTGATGAAGCTGCCTCTCACAGCCCAGCAGGATGGCCAGGCCTCCGTGTCCTGCCCAAGTCAGTCCAGCCAGGCACCTGACGCTCAGGCTATGGCCAGTGAACTCTTCACCTCTGGCCATTTAAGAAGGTCCAGTTATTTTATGGTGGAGACTTAAGGAGTAAAATTTTTTTTATTCAATGGCAAAACACAGCCCTGGAACTTTCCCACCATGATGGGGGCTTTCTGAAGATTGCATAAGATGATAAAGTCATCAGTCTTTTTAATATTGAATTTTAAACGCTATAGAAAAAAAGATCCCTCCATAAAACTCATGGGTTCCTCACCTCTTGTACACTGGCCTTAAGTTCTCTGGGGACCTGTTTTTGCTTTGCAGTATAAATGTACAGATGCATATGTCTGTGGGTAATTTTAGGGAATGTAATTTGTTACTATTGTTCTTTGCAGTAGTATTTATTTATTTTA